CACATATCTCTCATTTAAAGTCTGAAGTGATTTTCTAGGATGATGTCATATTGTTCGTTTTTCAATCGAGATATTCGCTGCAACATAATAGCAAAAAACTAAATTTGTAACAGATCAAGCTTTTAAGGTCTTCCTCTTCCTTAAAAATTGATCTTTGGTGAGGCTATATTGTTGATGCAGAGAAAATGAATGAATATCTTCAAAAGCTCTCGATTGTCATTTATGTATAGAAATAATTTTTAATATTAATAATAACAATGGTTAATTCAAAAAACGAACTCTATCGGGCGCTGCAACTTTATATACTCTTTCAAAAAAAAAAAAAAGAATAAACACAGAAAAAAACTGAAAAAGAAATTTTCATGTTTTCTGAAAAACTGCTTTTTTTCTAAGAAGCAGATGACGAAAATCATCAAAAATTTTGGTAAGAAATGAGGTGCTAAATAAAAAAAAGCCATATTGTATGTGAAAGATCTGTTAATCGGAATAACTTCAAAAAGAACACTCATTTTCATTCTTACACTCAGAAGTTTAGCGCTAGTAACAGTTTTAATTGCAGTTTTTTCAAAATGAAAAATACTTCGATTAAAGAACTAAGACAATCTAAATGGACATAAGACAATAAAATTGAGAGTTATGAGTCAATATGTAGAAAAACTTCCATGTTTTGTGTGACATTTTTCAAAATATCGGACAACTTACGATGATCATTACTCAGAAAGACAAGTCCAAATATTTCGATTTCTATTTCAATGAAACTAAAACGAGTCTAGTTGATTTTCGATAGTGTCTAGAAAAATTCTACTGATGTTCTGTGGATGTTATTTTACAATTATGTATCTCCGACGGTCCATTTGAGAACATATTTATTATATTGTGATAGAGAAATGAATTTCTATTACTAATAGTTGTTGAAAATAATAATTAATTGAATTTTTTTCTTAGAATCGTCATTGTCTATTAGATATAACTCCATCAGCTATTGAACAATTAAATTATGCTGAATGTTATCCAATTGTTATTTATTTCAAAGTTTCGAATCGTCGTATTATTAAACAAATTCGTAGTGAATATGGAAAATTTTATCAAAAATCATCTCGACGTTTATATGAAAATGCTGAACGTCTTGAATATTTTTATTCATATTTATTTACATCAATTATTAATTTAGATTTAACAATAAATTGGTATGAAAAATTAAAATCTCAAATTGAATTTCAACAAGACGAACCTGTATGGATGTGTAATGATCAATTAATTGAAAAAGATTTATTAAAATCAGATGAATATTTTATTTCAACAAGTTTAAATAATTCAGATGATTTTTCTTTTCAAGATCAATCAAGTTTAGATTTTAATATAATAAATAAAAAAGAAAAAAAATTTTTACAAAGAGTTGCATCAGATCCTATTATATTTCAAAAAGATGATAAATTTCTTAAAACATATTCAACTGATTCATCTCATCATCTCAGTAATGATGAGGAAGAAGAAGAAGATGATAGTATATTTATGCAAACATCTACAATATCATTACCAAATCATAATCATACATTACCTACAACAGATAATGAACAACAACATCAATATCAATCGGATATATTATATTCAAATAATTCACTTGTTAATCAACGATCATTCATAAATTCAAAAATAAATAATAATGATCATTTATTTTCAATAGATAAATTTAATATTGTAAATTTATTTCTTTAAATAAATTTTTAATGAAGGAATTTAAGATTTTTTTTTTGTTTTAGAATCGAAATATATCGTTAAATCAATATGAAAAAACTTATATTGAAAATGAAATAAAATTTATTTCTACAGATTCTCTTAAAACAAAGTAAAATTTTTTTATGATGTTATTTTAATGTTTTATGGTTTTTCTTTTTAGTGAAATATCTTCAAATCAAATTTTATCAAGACGAACATTGATTCCATCAAAATTTTCTACAATAAATTCTAATGAACGAATTAATTTAAATGATAATAATAATGGATCAATGAGAAAAAAGTTAATTGATAAATCAACAATGACTGATAAAAATTCAACAGTTAAATATACTTCATGGAATAAGTAATTTTATCCTTTTAGAACGAAAGACACATATAGTCATTTTTCTTTTCGGAACAGTTCAGATCTTCTTATGCATATTACTCATCATTGATCTAACTGACATTGCTCTATGATTTGATATAAGCAATGCGCTGTACCAATTTTTGAAAAATCAATAGCATTGAATAGAAATGAAAACTAATTCCGTGTTTTATTATTTTCCCTCGCAAAAAAACAGAATCCCATCCTGAAAAGGTTCAAAGAAAAAAATTTCTTTGAAGTTAAACATTTTTTTCATGTGTTTGGCATGCACAGCTTTCAAAATGTGTTCATATCACATGATTTCCTTTTTATAGACAAGCATTTAAATGTTTGAGTGAGTTACGCACACATTTAAAACAGCTCATATGCTGAACTTATGAAAATTATACAAATGAGCACACTTGACACAATCAACTGAAATAAAATATTTAAAAACTTTTCCGTTCAAAATGAAAGAATGCTTCTTGTCATTGAAGGTGTCTCGATCTACTTACTCATGTAGACCTCTTTTTGGTTTATCTGTTACATACATTATCGTTTAAGTTGCGAATTTTTATTATGAATCGCATTATCTTGAACATATAATTAAAGAAAAAAAATGAAAAGCACATACAATATATAATTAAAATTTATTTCACGCATCACAGATATCGTTTTCATAGTTGTGACAGATGATTGAGTGTGCGTGAAGAGAAGACTAGAACTCACACTCACACCCACACCCCTTATGTCAAAAATAAGAAGTGTCTTGTTAATTAAAATTTTCCATTTTTTTTGCTTTCGACCTTTCTACAGCACACTGGACATTTTCGAAGGATCCTCCACATCTCTCTCCCTAATCGAGAACTCTGGTTGTGATGGGAGCGGACTGTTTTTGTTAATCTGTATAGCTCGCAATGTTTTCTATAAATCGTTTCGTTTGCGACCACTCCTATACACGCTCGAACAAGAAGTTCATGTATCTGAGCTTGCTAAAAGACCTCAAGATGTTTCTATATTGCATAACTGTCTTCCTCAAGACATTCAAGTTCTTCATGAGCATGAAAAAGAAAATTTGACTAAATTAGGGCAAAGATCATAACAAACGACGAGATCAACAGACATGACATATGTCTTACGGAAGAACCTCTCGAGAAGATAAAAAGCGTTTGGACTTAGACTACTTTTATCTTGTAGGTCCTAATGAGTGGTGAAATACCCTAAGTTGGTTCGTGTTCTTACTGCTTTGAGATGGAGTTATGACCAGTTTACTGTTTTTTCGACCTATAACATCGTACGGGCAGCAGTAGTAAATGAGTAAATTTCAGATTGAAATTTACTCGTTTACTACTGCTGTTCATACAATGCAATAGGTAAAAAAAAGCAGTAAACTGATCATCCCAAAACAATAAGGGCCCGAACCAACTTAGGGTTTTTCATCACTCATTAGGAGTTACAAGATAAAAGTAGCTTGGGTTCAAAAACTTTTTATCACATCGAGAGGTTTCCTCGTTAACAAAGTCACTAGAGCCCATCGGGCCCGGGTCCAGAAGTTCTTGGATCAAATGGGCTCTACCTACAAAGGATCAATCAATTAGGTTCGAATCCAACAATTTTAATCGGTCTGCTTCGGGTTCGGATCCAAAAATTCTTGAACACAATGGGCTCTAAATGTTACAGATCGTAACAGACGTTGTTGACGTTCGATTGCAGACCGTATATCAATAACGTATCGCTAGGGTATATGAACTACTTTCTTATTGCATTTCTCGAGATTTAAGTAAAAGGATGACGAAGAAATGTTTTAATAGAATAAAACAATCTTGCTGTGATTGAAAACAGCAACTACATCGTGTTTCACATTTTAATCTTGCAGAAATTGTGCTAAAATCTTTTTTTTCTTGGCTTAGATCCACAACATCTTGTCCAAAAATTGTACCGAATAATCATAATAATAATAATATTGATTCCATACATAATACATTAATAGAAAATGGATATCATAATAAACAAATTTCATTAGTTAATTCTAATGAAAAATTTTCTACTGAATCTTTATTAAAACAAAAAATGTGTTCAAGTAAAAAACATCATCATAAATTATATAGTAATACATTTTCATCAGATCATTCAATATCTCAATATTTATCTACATCTTCATTACAAAAACCACGTGTTTATACTCATGATGAACGAAATTTGCTTAATCAACAACAAGGAATGCTTTCATCTTCATCTGGATCATCAATAATAAGTGTAAAAGATAAAACTATTAAAGAAGTTGGTGAAACAAGGTATATGAAAAATTTTCTTATTTTATTTAAAGAAAAAAAAAACTGTTCTTATTAAAGATCATATTCAATACAAGATGGATCTAATGTTATCGGTAGTGCTCGAGGTATTATGGATTATTATGGTGGAAAACTCTCTTGTCCTTTAACAGGTTTTATTCCGTTTGATTTTTTTTTCTTGATTAAAAAAAAAACATCTAATTTTTCTAGGTGTATCATTATTTATACCAATGGGTGCAATACCTGAAGGTATTCAACAAGAAATCTATTTTCAAGTTCATCAAGATGATTCAAATAATGAAAAATTTCATGGTAAATTATTAAGTCCAATTGTTATTTGTGGTCCACATGGAATTCAATTTCAAAAACCAGTAGAATTAATTATACCACATTCAGCTGGAAATGATGCACAACAATTATCTCTTCTTCTACATGGTACTAATCAAGGTAGATATATATATATTTTTTTTTTAATTAATTTTAAAGAAAAAAACAAATATCTATTCTTTTATTTCTATTAGATAGCAAAATAAATTATCATCAGCAACAGAATAAATCTTTGATCATGAATGGAATTAATCATGTAACTAATTCAAATGTTTCAATTCTTGTTGATCATTTTTAATTTCTTATTTTCGACCAACAAATGTATCCATTGCATTTGATAAACCAAAAAATCTCATAAATCTATCAAGACATTCATCAGGTGTTAATCTAAACAAAATCAAAATATTAATAAAAAAGAAAAACTATAACATATTTATTCTTTACCCTTTAAGAATATAAAATAAAGTTGTATGTGGTGGTAACATAATAAAACGTTTATTTCTTCGTATAGCATTAACAATAGAATCACAAACATAATTTTCATTAAGTACTCTAACACAAGTTGCTCTAAAAAATAAGAAAATTTATTTCGAAAGAATAAAAGAAATTTTCTTACGATGTTGAAACACCTTGAAACATTCCAGTATTAATAAATGTTGGACAAACAACTGTTGTTTGAATTCCATCTCTTTTCATTTGTTTTAATTCAGCTGTTAATGCATCATGTAAACCAATAGCGGCAAATTTTGATGAACAATAATCAGTTAATTTACTGACACCTTTAGATTTTTATTTTATTAAAAAGAAAATAAAATAATTTATAGAGAATAACCTTACCGAATATACCAGCACTAGAAGCAATTGTAACAATATGACCATGATTTGAAGCTAACATTGGACCAAGAAATGATTTAAGAACCTAAATTAAAAGTATTCCATCAATTGCAGATCTCGAGAAAAAAAAGCCATTGTTCCTTCGCATATTGATGGGAGAAACTCGCTATGTGATAATTCAATTTTGAGATGTGCATGACCAAAAAAATAAAAGTTTACAGGAACCGGCATTACGAGAAAAAAATTTGTCGAGACCGGAACTCAAGTCTATAGTAAAATATTCTAGGGTTTTAAACAAATTATTGTTTAAATCAGAATATAATTCAAGAGAGATGCCCCAAACAAGTATCGTTTTCTCTAGATCGAAACCAAAAAACTTGGTCCCGCACGTCTCTAGTCTTAACTCATTAGATAACCTCTATTGAGACTAGAGAAAACCTAAAATGAGTCGTGCTTGGTGGCTTAATAAAAAAAAATTGTAGAGTTATTCAGTCTCCTTACCATGTTTATAGAAGAGGTTGAAGAGTCTCTGGTAACATTTCAAGAGAACTCTCAAATTCCTGTTTAAGTAAAACTTCACCGTTAGTAGGAAACGAGAGGAAGTGAAAGCTTTTCGAAGGTCTGAGTCTTCTTGTAGTACCCGTATGATTACGCCGCTAATCGTGCTTATGAAGCTTTTTTCTTCAGTTGTGGTCATTTTAGTGAATTTTTCAACAATTTGCCATCATCCACCTCAAGTCATCTTCAAAATTGATTGTTGAATTTAAATTTTGCACCAATAGAGATCTCGATAAGACTAGTTTATTGTGAAAGTGTTAGATACAACTATAAGGATTAAAGTTGTTACTTTGCATAACAAACTTTAATATTGGAATTTATATAATCAGAAATACTAGAGAAATCTAATACTTTTACAATAAAGTAATCCTATTGAGAACTTTATTTGTACAACAATTGAACTTGTCATTTGGTGAAATCCTCACGTAAAAATGATCTGTAATCTGAACATATGAGCTTCGAATAAAGTATAGTTTAAAATAAATAAAAAATTCTGTGCAAAATGATAAATAAATAATGGTTTACAAGATATCTCAGATGGATATTCAAACATATCAGTTTCTATTATTTTATATAATAAGTATTTACTATTTTCTTAAAAATAGTATTATTTAACAGCATTCTTTGTCTACATTCAAACTAAATGTTATCAAGAGTTTAAACATTTAAAACTCTATTCAAAAAAACAAAACTTACCCAAAAATGAGCAATAACATTAACATCAAATGTACGTTGAATTGATGCGTCATCAAGATCCAATAATGATTTTCCACTGACTACACCGGCATTATTAATTACCATTGTTACATCTCCAACTTGATCTCTGACCTAATATATAAATAAATAATAAGAAATTTTAAAAAAATTATTATTCTAACTTGTTGAGCAACTCGATAAATATCTTCTCGATTACATAAATCAACTTTCATTGAATAAGCTTTAGCACCAGGCCATTCATCAAGTATTTGTTGTTTTGTTTCTTCATTGCCTTTTTCATTAACATCCCATAGAACTACGGTTGCACCAAGTGATGCAAGTCGTTTGGCTACACCACGACCAAGTCCAGAACCTTTAAAAATAAATAAAAATAAAAATCATAAAAAAGCGTTTTTTTTTTTTGTTAGTTTAAAAACCCGCTCCAGTGATAAGAATAATTTCATTTCGAACACTTTTTCGTAAATTTTGCACAAATAAAATACATAACAATGCTTTAATCCAATAATAAATAAGCATAAAAAATGCTTGTATATATTCCCAAGTAACAATTACACCCGTCCACATTGTAGTATAACAACGAAAGAAAGAAAAAAAACAAGATAAATGTAATGAATTTATTCTCCTTCACTATCGTAGCTTGTTGATATGTAGGTTATCTTTCTATTTATTATTCTTTACAGTATGATCGTTTCGTGTTTTTTCTGTCGGTCAACGTACATGCCCCTGGTTTTTTTTTTTTATAAATTGTATCGTTAATAACAAAATGCGTTGTCTTTCGTTCTTCAATAAGAAAAAAAGCTTTTTAACGGTATTCTTGAAGAAGGAGTTAATGTTTTTTTTTCTTTTCTTATACCTCTTCAGATTCAAAAGTGTCTAGCAACGTACACAAACTGAGAATATTTAAAAAAATCAAAAAAAAAAAAAAGACAATCTTTTAAATCATGCGTTATCCATGTATCGGTTTTCCAACATGTTTAAAATCATTTGACAATGGTTATGTTTTACGTGCTCATCAATTGTCTTGTGAACATGCATTAAAAAAAATAAATCAACAAAATCAACAACAAGAAAATATTCGAAATATTCAAAATAATCATCTTAATTATCGAATGAAAGAAAATAAATGTTATCAAACATCTACTGGATTAGATAAAACACAAAAATTTCTTATTCGTGATCGATATCAACTTGGTGGAAATAATAATCTACAAGAATCTTATCGACGAATTCGTCAACCACCAGATCCAAAAATGGTAATCATACAAACAAAATCTACATCAATTGATTTTAGTGGTTATTATACATAAATGAAAATAAGAATATGAACTATAGGTACAACAAAAAAGAAATCTATTTTAGTCGTTTCATCGTCTAGTAAAAATTTTATTTATTTTCTAAATATGTCGGTTTTGGCTCTTTTTTCTTTTCTTATTGAATTTGATTTGTATAATTAAATATCGAAGAAAAGTTTATTTAAAAAAAATGCAAGAATAAATAATGATTTATGGTTTTGGCCATATGAACAACAATTGATTATTTTCTGAATAGATATTATTTATTTTTTAATATTTGGTAATATATCCTTACAATTTATAAGTAGAGTAGGCAAAATTAGTTATTTTCAAATGCCATTTTATCTTCTCTTTTCCAGCAGTGTCCAAGGACTGAGAAATAGGAATTCCTAATTTGTAGAGGAATTGTCAGTGTAGCTATGATAATTCCTTGGGGAAATGGGAATTGACCATTATTTCCATCACAGTTCTCTCATTCATGAAAGTCAAGATAATGCTTTTTTTGCAATAATTTTCGTACTCATACGTTCATGCGCACAAATTTCTTGATGAAAACGAGTGTAAGAGTAATAAATACTGTGGATATTGTATTTTTTTAATTTTAGCATTCAAGGAAATGTCAGGGAACTGAGTAGGAATTCCTATTCCTCAGTCCTTGGACACCCCTCTCTGTATTTGTGCTAAAATTTTCAAATCGTTGCGTCTTATTCTTGAGTTTATTTCCTTACGCTTTGATGCTAAAATGTGAAAATTTTAGCATGAATACAGGACGATTTAGGCTATATTTTGGTCTAATTAGATGTTAACTTGTCGTGAAAACTCATGAAAATAGAAAACCGATAAAATATTTAACTGCAAACAATCATACAAAAGACTCGTAAACCTAATGATTTTTATACAGATCGATATTCCCCACCTTGTTCTTTCTAACGGTGAAAACCCGATCTCTATAACTTGAACCATTGAAAAGTTATTCAAAAAATAGTCGTTGGTACTTTAAAAAAAAATCAGACATTAGATATATAGTGCAGGAAAGATTCTATTTTGTTTGATTAACAATAAAACGATGCTATTAACCATAAGAAGAAAATAATGTTTTGAGGCTGACTTAACTAAAAAGAAATAATAAACTAATCGTATTATAAATCAATTTGATTTAATATATGTCATCTTTTATATACACTATGTACCGGGTTGTGCATAACCTTTTGCTAGGGGGGTAGCGCTATGATTTCAAGTTAAATACCTAATGAATTTTATACCAAATTAAAGACCGTCAAAAACTAGATTCATTAGTACTAAATAGTAAGACTGATCAAAATACTTTAGTGTCGAACTTACGAAATTTTCGGAGATTTTATGCTTTTTCTAGCATAGAAAATTAGGGCACCAGCAATTCAAATATAGAGTAAAATATTTTCTTTTGATATTTTTACATGGTTCGATAGGGCTCGTCGAGCACTACAAAACTATATATATTAAAAGTTTCTTGAGCCATTTTTCTGAGATAAAAAATTGTAAAATCCTAAAAAATCTTTAAAAACTCGTTTTTTTTATATAGAAGAAAAACACTCGATTTCTTCGATAAAATTAACTTTTTTCATTATTTTTACCTACAAAGACGCTTCGAAATATACTCATTCGATGCAGCATGAAAAATTGCGTCTAATGAGTATATCGCGAAGCGTCTTTATGAGTGAAAATAATAAAAAAACTAATTTTATTGAAAAAATCGAGTGTTTTTCTTCCCTATAAAAAACTGCTGGTGTCCTAATTTTCTATGCTAAAAAAAAGTATAAAATTTCGTAAGTTCGACATTCAGATATTTTGATAATTCTTACTATTTAGTACTAATGAATCTAGTTTTTGACGGTCTTTAATTTGGTATAAAATTCATTAGGTATTTAACTTGAAATCATAGCGCTACCCCCTAGCAAAAGGTTATGCACAACCCGGTAGTATAATGATGAAAATACCATGCTTACAGACATATATCTGTAAATTTATTCTACACATGTATATGATGGGTATTGTAAAGAGTTGAGCAACATATAACCGAGTTGTAAATTTGTCAAATGATGTACATGATAATGATTGATATTCTTGTAGTCAAATTAAAATGTTATGACACTTGTTTTTCGTTAATGCAACAATCTATGAAGACCCAATATTGAATTCTTTTTCATTATTATTAATTCATCATTTTTTCCTTAGTTGAACTGGATTCAGAAAAATGATCGTCTAATCATAAGACTAATTGATTATGGTTTATTTTATTCAGTACTTTTTTACAATGATTCTATGTTCATCTTATTGAATCCATTTTAAATTATTAATATGAAATGAGACGAATATTTAATATTCCTATTCTATTTTTATTTTGCCTTCTACTACTCAACATATTCGTCTATCATTACAAGAAAAATCCTAAAAATTACAGAACATAGTTGAATCACAGCACGAAGAGCAAACAATTACGTTAAAGAAGAAGTTGTTCTCGTTTTTCAGAGCGTAATCGACTCGTTTTTTTTCTTTCCATAGGTAAATAACAATTTTCATCTGTTCTCTGTCAACAAGTATCACCTATCCTCGTTACTATGGTTTATAAGAGAGAACGAGAGAAATAACAACAGAAATGCATACTCTATTTACTTCTACATTGCAGTACATCGTTCGTTATTCATATGACATAAATAATAAAAATGGCCGTAAACATTAATGTTGTCGTAGACATAAATTTTGCTATAAATTTAAAGGTACAAAGTATAAATAAATGAATTGTAAAGAAGCCAGATAGGTGAGATGAAAATATATAAAAGGCTTCATATTTTGAAGTCAAAATATGTTTCTTCTTATTTCAAAAAGTAATTCAATTTAATAACTAGTTCAATTCTTCATTTCATGATAACTTTGGTATGTTACATGTTTATCATGGCGACTTGAATATTCTTTATGTGAGATGTCTTTTGAAGATATATATATATAAACAAATGTATATAGGAGTTTGAAAGAATTCGAATGCACTCCTTTGAAGTTTCAAACTTTGGATACATGATAAAGGGTGTCTGTAAAAGACGTGAATATCCATATTTGGTACCAGTGAGTAGACCGACTCGAGTTAGACATATACTCAAAATATCCTGTCTTTCGATTTTTGGTTTGCTGTACTGATACTTGTGCTAAATTTCTCCTCTTCCTATCTTTTTCCTAAGCATATTGAGTCTCATATTGTGATTCGAGATCATGATGTTCTTCGGTAGAAGGAGCGGATGTGAAATTAATGCTAGCGTATATGATATTCTATACTGTCAAAGATGCTAATTGATAATAGAGATCGATTGGAGATGTTCACACGAGCTATATGCAAATTCAATTATAAGGCTTAAAATTGAGAAAAAACATCTCTTCTATTTTTCTAAATCTAGTAGATGAAACCATAATATTTTGGGTATGTGCCTAAGTCGAGTTGGCCGACTCATTGATAAAAGATATCGGTACTCGTGGATCAATTCTAGATTTGGGGATATTCGCGTCTTTTACAGATATTCCATGGTGGATATACAAATTAATATTCTTGATTTATGAATCTATTTCTCGTAAGTTAACATGCATTATTTCTGAGAATGTAAAACAAAGTTGGAGAATTTATTATCGCATAATATTAAGAATGGATCTGAAGTAAAAGAAGTTTTCTAATTATAATGATGTACTTAATTCATTCCGAACGTTTAAATCAAAAATATCGATTTTTTTACTGATCAGAGAAAGTCTCCGAATGTAAGCTGCCAATCGAACTGATGTTTTCTCATAAGTAGGCGCCAACAAGAGTAGTAGAAGCCTATTAAGGGCTCGTTTCACGAACTGTCCTTTCTAAATTATTGCAGTTGCACTGAATTTTTTATGTACCTGGAAAGGCATTTGTGAAAAACCGAAGTACAGAATTTTGACCTGAGAATTTGTCCAATGGTAGATCTTGTGAGTCTTAGAATGCCTTGAAAATTTCAGCGTAAAGGGATGTGTTCTGCTGTAGATATTGTACGTCTAAAAAGCATCATGAGTTCCAAGGAAAGATAGAAACGTTCAGTGTTTTCAAGATTTAATATTACAAGAACAACACATCGTTTTGGACTGAAATTTTCAGATCATTCTATGGTTCACGAGATCTACCTATGGACAAAATTTCAGGTTGAAATTTTATAGTTCGATTGTTTCATAAATACCTCACTAGAGATAAAAAAAATATTAAGTAAAATTGTAATAACTTGGGAAGAACAATACACAACAACGAACTTATACAGACTTCTAATAATCTCATCGAAGCCTACTTATTGACAAAATATCAGTTCGATTAACGAGCCATACTTCGGGACATTCCTTCGTTAGTCTCATTCTCTCATATATTGAATTTAATATTGTCATCTAGTGTAATTTTATAATAAAATGACTTGTACTTTGACTGATCGAAACACAGCATACAAAATCAGTCCTTTCAAAGCATTATTTTTATTTTTTTTTCCATTCAATAGTAAAATTATACTTCAGATAACATTGTCATACGATAATTTTTAGACTTTTTCATTTTAGATTAAGATGTCTTCCACTACTACGTCAAAGAAGACAGTGTATGAAAAGTCAGGTACAGTTCGCATAACAAAGACTGGCATAAGAAAAACATTCACTAAGAACAGATGGCGTCGTCTATGTTCTGTTGACAAATGTGAAAAACAAGCTCAACGAGTAGGATTATGTGCTAGACATCTTAGAAACAAACAATTCCAACAACCGTTGATTGAAACCATTGAAAAATTTCATCAATCATCAATAAATTTAACAACAGGTGAACATACTGTATTGTCTCATAGTCCAATCAAAGCTTCCTCGTATACTGACGAGACTATGGAATCGGACACTTTGCATAAAGATGGTAAGGTTTTTTTTTCTCTTTCTAACGCAATATCAATAAACCAACTTTTGGTTTTTTTAATATTACCATTAGAAACTATTGAAACGAAAGTGACAAAAGAGTGTTCTATTGGTCAAAACATTGAAGCTAATTCTATTCGGAAAGAAACAATATCTTCATACTATCATGTTGCGTCTAATCATAAAATGGATATTGACTCTTCTGCTATAACTACTATGACATCAGGTAAAAAAAATCGCAAACATTCTTCTATTAAAACTAAAACATATTTGTATTGACTTGTAATATGAATGCGATATATTTGTAAGTCTATGTTTATTTAAGATACATCTGTTGATGCATCCGAGCGAACTATCGAACAGCAACATAGTCCTGTAAATACGAACAAATGTCAATATTGGCTTCCATTCTCTGATATTTATCAATGTCGAGAATTGAGTACTTATCATTGTTTTCATTGTTCGTCTTCGTTTTGTCTTCCACATGGCGTACAACATCAATGGAATTTGAAAGAAGAAATAAATCATTTATTAACTGAGACTAAAGTCAGTGTTAATGTTAAAACTATATTTCACAATTAGCGTTTTTCAGATGAAATACTTTTCTATAAAAATTTTGCATGAGTTTTCACTAAAAGACAATTTTATTTTGCAATATGATATTTTTTAGTTATTATAAAAGAAGCGTTTTTTCAGCTAGTGAAAAAAAATCACTTAAGGTGTCGAAACACTTATAAATCAAAACTTTATTCAATCAATAGATCTTAAAGAATAATGAGACAGACTAGAATGATTTCGATTTGTCACTCCTGAAATATCGTATTTTTCCAGTAAAAGATCAACATCAACTGAAGGTATGCTTTGCAAAGCAAATTTCAGATTTTACTTGGAAATGTTATCTAAAAGAACAGCTACGTGAAGTTTAATAAATGAATTTTTCCTATATCTATATTTTCCAGATAAATTCCACCAAACAGTTCTAAGTTTCCATTATAGTCTAGTTTTATTGAGTTCTTTAACTGCACAAAATGTGAAATTTGCTTCCTAAAGTTTACCTTAGATAGACTGGGAACATTCTCTGGAAAATCAATTAATAGTTCGAAAGTCTAGAAACAAAGAATATGAAAATCACATCATTCAAGACTGTCTCATTGCTCACTACGATCTTATCACAGAAATATAATCCAAGTCCAAAAGTGATTTGACATTTTAAGAAGTGTCCTCCGAAATCTTAGATCCATAGACTTGAAAATCGTGTACCTTCGTATAACATTAACATTTTAACAAAAACTATTTCAACTAGTAAGAATAACTGGCGATATTATTTTTAGAAACTCCTGAATAGTATTCCACAATTAAATATTATTAGTGGGAAAGAAAATTGCAAGATGCTGATTGATCAATGGGCAGCAGCTATGCATGCAAAAATTAATCAGAAACATTATGAACTTGAGACGGAACTAAATTGTTATGAACAACAGATTGAAACCAATCAGGATCAATGGAAAAAATCTTTAGAAAATCGATTAACAACAAAAATTGGTTGTAAATTGGAAGAACAATTGCAAAAATATGAGGTTAATGGAATGGAATTCAAAAAAGCTTGCCATGAACTTGAACATGTACGAGAGCTCTTCTATCTGTTTAACAGTAAACCATTAATTTCTGTGACGCATAATGATGACAACCAAATCAATTTGAATGAACCTTGTTTAGTTTTCGAAACCAACATTAAAAGTGGCATCGATTGGATGAAAGATCTTTCCTCAGACAACAATATTGATACTATGAACCATATCTGTGTACGTCAGTTTCCAGATTCTGAAATAAATCACTGTGAGTATATTCAAGACTGATAAAGAAAACGAAAGCCTTGTCATCTATAGTAATCTATAAGTATATTTACAAGGGAACCTCCTCATATATCTCATTTTGATTTCAATGATTTTTCGAATTTCTATCTCAAACTTTGCACACATAGAGAACTCAACCAGACTAGCTTCTATAAAAAAAAAGTTCACAAATTTTCAACAAAGTCTCTTCGAGATATGAAGTTTTCAAAAAAAAATGCATATGGTGTACACTATCCATAGAAAAGGGTCTATATCTTGAAAGTCTAATATTTCGAAGAGATTTTGTTCAAAACGTGTGATTTTTTTTATGGAAGTTAGTCTAGTTGAGTTCTCTATGTGGGACAACGTTTCAGACCAAATTTAAAAATTTGACTTAGATATTTCCGTAAAATTTAATTTCTAATAATAATCAATGAATTCTGACTTTCTACTCACGAAAAATATTTAAAAAAAGAAGGATTAGAGCAAACTAATAAGTAAAGAAGATTAAAGTTAAAAAGAAAATCTTAGATTAGATTGATAGGCATATAATTCAAGAAATTAAAATCTAAAAAGATTTTAGAAAGAGACAATATAAAGCTAAAACAAAAACAATGATGAAAAGGATCAATGAATAAATAAGATCAATTAATTTCACTTGCATCTTTTTGAGTTTCGATTTTATGTAGTCAGATTGAAAAAAAATGAATGTATCTATATTTAAAAACTGGTAAGATCTAAAAAAATCCTCCATTAATCTTTTAGCTCTAGAGTCAATAATTTCAGCAGCATCATTGTTTCATTATCATCATTATCAACTCGTACAAATTATTGATAATAATAAAAATAACTGTGAATTAAATTTACGTTACAAAGCTTTAACTGATCAAGACATGAAAAATATGGTTGCCTACGGTATACAAAATAATACAGTAAGTGATATTATTCATCTTTGAAAATCTATTTAGTAATCTGTTGCTAGATATAGGATTACGTAGATTAGATTTAGACAATTTGCATCTTCGTTATTTATCTTCACATAAGTAGAAGTATCGAAATCTGTATGAGAGAAAAATATATATATGTAGTAAAATACTTGAATATTCAGAAATATCTAAATGATATGGCAGAATTCTGAATAGTTTTCCTAACTGAGTATGGAAGTATGTGAAAAATTGGTTGACAGAACTCGATTTCAGTACTACACGTTAATAAGACTTTAAGCAAACTTTTATATTTTATGTCGTCTCAGTTGATGTTATTCGAAGTACAAATCAATAAATAATTAAATCGTGTGAAAATAAAAAAAAAGAATCATATCGGTTGGAAATCTCACTTTTATACGATGTCTTCATTAATGGTTCTAATTTTATATTCTAATTCAATTTTTACTCTCTAAAACAATTCGTTCTTTGTGATATATGATACAAAGGACAATATAAGACATGAGAAAATAGCTCATTACTTCTATTTCCCCTCTAATTTACTGTAATCATATGAACAAAAGATATTGACGATATTCCTATAATGTTTGTGACATTGCAGTTGCTTATTAAACGGTGCACCTAACTTCTTCTGAGTTTTTCTCAACAATCAAAATTTCATAACGGAAACAATTAAATACTACTCCAACTTGAAAATTGTCGTAACTCATGTATTAAGCATGGACAACAGCAATGTCCATGATGGCGTCAGCGCGAATTTTTTTAAACCCTCAAAGCGCGCGAGATGTTTTATAAATATTATCACACCAGCGGCGCGGTAGCCTAATCTCTCCTAGAAGAGCGGCAGATTTTCAGTCGCAATGGGTAACACAGTCAAGTTTCTTATGGTCAAAAAACAACGTGTAACGCGAAACCAAATATGTTGACTATGTTCCATCAAGTCACCCTCCAAGAGTTGGTTTTAATAAACACATGCAAACTTCTGTAAATCATACGTTTTCTATACCCAATCTTATGGACATGATATTAGAACTGTTATTCTAGAATTTAAAAAAAAAAAGTTGTCGGAAAATTCAAGCAATGACTAGACGGCGAAGAAGGTTTATTAAATCTCACTCTCTCAATCTACATATTAATTGATTGGCCATGCTTTTGTTTTTGTTTCCTCACTAGAATCATCTAGAGCACGTGACATACGACAAGGAAAGCTAAGTTTTTGTCAAATGCAGATAAATATAACAGTTCATTGCCGCGTTCCAAGTTGTATCAATCAATCAAATATTCTTTTCCATTGTAGTATATTAATATTTTTTTTTCATTGATACAGACTCTTACAACACTCGATCTTTCTCATAATCAAATTGGACCGACAGGAACAAAATATTTAAGCGATGCATTACGAATTAATACAGTAAATTACAAATGTCTTTATCTGCTTTGAAAAGACTTTTTTTTTGTCTTCTACACACAGACAATTATCAAAGTCGATCTTTCCGAAAATCAAATTGGAGATGAAGGAGTACAACATCTGAGTGATGCATTACGAATTAATAAAGTGCTTAACAAGGATCTTTTCATCTGACTTATATTAATATTTTCTTCTTGCTATAGGTACTTACTACACTCATCCTTGTTTGGAATGATATTAGATCTGAGGGAGCACAACATTTGGGTGATTTATTACGTGTTAACACAGTAAGATAAACTACATTTCATCCATTATATGCTGATAATTCTTCTTTAATTTAGACTCTAACGACACTTGATCTTTCTCATAATGAAATCGGTGTACAAGGAACACAAAATCTTAGCGATACATTACGGACTAACACCGTAAGAGAGTAATTTCTTTGTTGATATTATATAATTTTGTCTTTATTAATACAGACACTTACTACACTTGATCTTTCCTATAATCAAATAGGACCTCAAGGTGTGCAATATCTGAGTGATGCACTACAAACTAATACAGTAAGATAAATATTTGATTTTCAATTAGATGTTGATCTTTCTTCTTTCGATACAGGCACTTACTACACTCAATATTTCCTGGAATGAAATTGGTGTTCAAGGTACACAACATCTGAGTGATGCATTACGAATTACCACTGTAAAACAAAATTCTTTTTATTGATAGCACACTCATGTTTTTTTTTGATGCAGACACTCACGACTCTCATTCTTTGTGGCAATCAAATTGGTTCTCAAGGAATACAACATCTGAGTAATACATTACATTCAAACACAGTACAACAATAATCTTGTCGTTTATTTCCTATTGATATTTCTCCTTCGGTATAGACACTCACTACACTTAATCTCGCTCGAAATGATATTAAATGTGACTCAATACAATATCTAAGTGATGCATTAGAAATTAACAAAGTGAAGAGATAGCCTCTTAATCATTGTTATATTAATATGTCTTCTTGGATATAGACACTAACTGCACTTGATCTTTCTCACAATCGATCTCGACGTCAAGGCTTACAATATTTGAGCAATGCATTACGAATAAACAAAGTGAGACACTAACAAGGAAATCTATTTGAGTGTACGCTCTGAGAATGAATTCAAAAGTGTTCTATATGTTAGTAACCTCAATGAATTTCAACATCTTAGTTGCCCTCTGTTTCGGTCACGAAAAAGAAGGACAGCTGAGATACTCATATTCATCGAGATCCTTAATAGACAGAATAATTTTGAACTCATTCTCTAGTCGTACAGGCAAATATGTTTCCTCGTAAACTTTATATAAGTATATTTCTTATGGATATTTATTTTTCACAAAGACACTTACTAACCTCAATCTGTCCTGGAATGAAATTGGACCTGAAAGAATACAACTTTTAACTGATGCATTACAGACTAATACGGTGAGGCAATAGTCTATACTTCATCTGTTTCCTACTCATATTTCTTTATAAATTTAGACACTAACTATACTCGATCTTTCTGGAAATCAAATAGGCAATCAAGGAATACAATATATAAGTGATACGTTACGAATTAACGCAGTAAGACAACTGTTTATTTATCCATCCTATATCTGTACTTTGATATAGATACTAACTATACTTGATCTTTCACATAATCAAATTCAATCTCAAGGTGCACAATATCTAAGTGATGTATTACGCATCAATACGGTAAGAGAATTATATTTTACATGCCTCGTATTAATATTTCGCCTTTGATGTAGACATTGATTAGACTTAATCTTTCGTGGAATCGAATTGGTATTCAAGGAGCACAATATTTAAGCGATGCATTACGAACTAACAAAGTAAGACAATAATCTCTTGATAGGTTTTATCAGAGCTATCATTATTGTCCAAAAACTCAGCGGAAAAACTTTAAACATTTTCTTTTTGAATGAACATGACGTTTTTTTAATGTATGGTGTACAGAATATAAGTTGTTTTCATTAAATAGGTGAAATTTTGAAAGGTTGAAAGGGATGTCTCTTCTTCCTCCCTACACTTACAGTAGGTCTATATTTTATATTAATGTTTCCTCTTCAATACAGACATTGACTACGCTCGATTTATCTCATAATCAAATTGGATCACAAGGAACACAATATTTATGTGATACACTACGAATTAATACAGTAAAATAATAGTCTCTTCATTAATCACATACTAATAATTTTTCTTTGATTTAGACTCTTGCTACACTCTATCTTTCTGATAATCAAATTGGCTTTCAAGCAGTTCAATATCTGAGTGATGTATTCCGAACTAATACAGTAGGATATTAATCATTTTATTTGCTTCATATTACTATTTATTATTAATATAGACACTTATCAAACTTAATCTCTCTCGGAATCAAATTGGAGTTCAAGAAAGAAAATGTTTAATTGAACTAAGTTTTATAAATAAAAACTTGGACATTGTTTGGTAATGATTTAATTGTTCCAACACATCGAATTGACTGTTATTTGCATTATAGAAATAAAAGAAAAAACATTATTTGAAAAGATATTATTTATAATTAAAAATATTCCTTATCCATTTGTTTCTATTAAAAAACTGAAACTAACTCTATATGCAAGAATTAATTTGAATAACTTAATAATTAATTAACAAGTTAAAACTTAACATTGATAACAACCGACAACATCTTTCTATCTATCAAATTAAGAACAGTCAATTATATGCGATATGACTATACTCGTGTAACATATGATTGACGTTCGATTATTCATTACTGAAGTAGATATGTTAATAAATAATTTAGATTTAATTTTACTGACATAAGTGTTTTCGATGCTTGAAAACGAATTTTGATAACATGAGAAAGCCACTGCTAAGAAAAGTAAACATTGGAAACCATGACTCATTATTTGTCATTAAATGAATATTCTAAATACTCTATGAGAAAAGATAGACCGAGATCGCTCTTCCTTTCATTGGACAACTCAGATTCTTTAATAAAACAATTCCCCTGTCGTGAACAGTATTGTGGATTTTCAAAAGTTTCAGTATAGAACTAAATGACGATGTCTATTATAGAGAGGTTCATTTCCAGCAAGAATCATTTCATTGGACTGCGACATGTCCACTATAGAAGGTTTTACTGCATAAATTGAGAAGAAAAAAAAAGGAAAACAAACTGATGAATATTTTTACATCTTGATTGATATACATCCAATGGTTCATGCATATTTACTCAAAGATGGTTCAGAGAAGATTCAAATATTAAATTTATTCCTTCGACTGAAGAGAGGGTCACAGTGGCGTATCCAGGAATTTTCAAGGATTGGGCAAAAGCCTCTTGGGGCCCAAAAATACATTGGGCAAGGCTTGGGCAAAGGCCTTTTGTCGAGATGTTCTGCTGGGAAAAAATGATCTTCTAAAGTTTTCGTTGGGCAAGTGCCCTTTTGCCACCCCTTGGATACGCCACTGACAGCCACAGTCACACCCACACCCACACCCTTATTATTTTACTTTTATTTATTCGAGGAATGTGTGCTTCGTTCTCACGCTTCAGTCTCATAGACAAATGTACAATCAAATAGGTTTATAAGAACAGAAAATAACACAGATTGACTTAAAAGTTTCTATTATTATAATTAGAAGTAAAAAGTACAATAAAGCAAAAAGATTTAGGTTTGTTGATTAAAATATTCAATTTTTTTACTTGTTCTTCGTTTTTCTTTCAGTAAGTTTAAATTTCTGAAGAATCCATGCATGTAGTCATTGTTTCGGCCACCTATACTCATGTTATTCACACAAATAGAAAAGAAAGTTCTTTTATTTGCCTTGAAAAAGAGAGAGAGATTTAGTTGTTAATAAAAGATGAGTATCTGACAAATCCACGAAATCGTGTATGATATATTATTATTCTTAATGCTAATATTAATTAAATGTATGAATGTATGTAGTA